CAAAACGAATGTATTGACTACAATGAAATTTTCTCTCCAGTTGTAAAACTGTCTACAATCAGACTGGTGCTGAAAATTGTAGCTGCAAAGAATTTACATCTTGAGCAGTTAGATGTAAAGAAAGCTTTTCTTCATGGTGATTTGGAGGAAGAAATCTATATGAGGCAGCCAGAAGGCTTCATAGAGGCAGACAAGAAAAACCTGGTATGCAGGTTGAAGAAGAGCTTGTATGGTTTAAAACAAGCTCCTAGACAGTGGTACAAGAAGTTCGATAGTTTCATGGGTAGCAGTGGTTTTACCAGATGCCAAGCAGATCATTGTTGCTACATCAAGAGGTTCGACAATAGCTTCATTATTTTATTGTTGTACGTTGATGACATGCTCGTTGCAGGCTCAAAGATGCAAGAGATTATACACTTGAAGCAAAAATTGTCGAAGCAGTTTGCTATGAAGGATCTAGGCGCTGCAAAGCAGATTCTTGGGATGAGGATCAAAAGAGACACAAAGTCGGGGACTTTGATGTTATCACAGGCTGAGTACATCAACAAAGTACTCTCCAGGTTCAACATGCAAGATGCTAAACCAGTAAGTACACCTTTAGGTGTTCATTTCAGACTCTCCAAAGACCAATCACCAAAGACAGAGGAAGAACGTGCACACATGGTGAAGGTGCCGTATGCCTCAGCAATTGGAAGTTTGATGTATGCCATGGTTTGTACCAGACCAGATATTGCTCATGCAGTGGGAGCTGTTAGCAGGTACATGAATAATCCGGGCAAGGTACACTGGGAAGCAGTCAAATGGATCCTCAGATATCTGCGGGGTACCACAAATAAAGCACTTTGTTTCAAAAGTAGAGATACGATACTGACAGGCTATGTAGATGCTGACTTAGCTGGAAATATTGACATCAGAAGAAGCACTACAGGGTATGTCTATACTCTAGGAGGAACTGCAGTGAGTTGGGTTTCTCAACTACAGAAGATAGTTGCTCTCTCCACAACTGAAGCAGAATATGTCGCTGTTACGGAAGCCAGCAAGGAGATGGTCTGGCTCCAAAGTTTCTTGGAAGAGTTAGGCAAGAAACAAGAAAACAATGTCTTGTATTGCGACAGTCAAAGTGCTATCCATCTAGCGAAGAATCCGTCTTTTCATTCCAGAACGAAGCACATACAATTGTGATATCATTTTATTCGGTCTCTTCTGAAAGATGGGATTTTGAAACTTGAAAAGATTAGTGGAGCTCAAAATCCGGCAGACATGTTGACAAAGACGGTGACCACGGACAAACTGAAGTTGTGTTCAACTTCAGTTGGCATGCTAGAATAACAAGACTAGAAATGCTGCTGCATCGATCGAGGTGTGAAGACAGATTAAAAATCAGTCTTCAAGTGGGAGATTGTAAAGTCAAAAAGGGTAGGCAGGGGCATGATTTTTTTCTGCAAAGCCAGTATCATTTTTCAACAAAGGGGCACCGAATTCGGTGCCCCAATATTTTAATTAAAATGTTTTTTGGTTTAATTACATTTTAGCCACTGCACAGTTTAGGGTATTTACAAGATTAGTCCCTAAGTTTCAGCTATAAATACCCTAGCTCATTTAGTTTCAAAATCATCCCAAAACATTTCTTTCTTCCTATACTAGAGAGTTTTCTTGTGAGTAGTGAGTGTTTTGTAAACACTTGTAAATTTTCTCTCTTAGTAAAAGATCTGCAGCAGCCCGGAGACGTAAGCACAATTGGCTGAACTCCGTTATCAACTTTCGGGTATTATTTTTCCGCTTTTATTTTGCATTCTCACTAATCTGGTTATAGGAAAATTACTTATACTCGGTTTATTTCCTAACACTGCGTCAAGGGGATCCATCATCTCCCTATCTCTTCATCTTAGTCATGGAGAGACTCTCTCACATGATCCTGGAAAGGGTTGAAAATGGCACGTGGAAAGCAGTGGGAGCTTCGAGAGGAGGACCAAAAGTAAGTCATATATTCTTTGCTGATAATTTACTTTTGTTTGCCGAGGCGAGTGCAGAACAGGTAGTTCAAATCCGAGAGTGCTTAAAAGAGTTCAGCGAGACCTCAGGCTGGATGTAAACCTTCAAAAATCCAAACTCTTCATATCTCCTAGCATCAATCCAAATATGTCAAATTATCTTAGTAAACTCTGTGATATTCCTCTGTCGAATGAATTGGGAACATACCTTGGAGTCCCAATAATTCACAAAAGGCAAAATGCAGGTGATTATGCACCGTTAATTGACAAAGTGATGAGAAAGCTTGTCGGGTGGAAAGGGAGAGTCCTCTCAATGGCGGGAAGAAAAACGCTCATCCAATCCGTCACCGCGGCTGTTCCAGTCCATACCATGCAAACGAGTATTCTTCCGAGAAGAGTCTGCAACAAACTCGATAGTTTAAATCGAAACTTTCTGTGGGGAGGAGGAAAGGACTACGCGCATAACCATCTGGTCAGTTGGGAAAGAGTTCGTATACCTAAGATGCATGGGGGTTTAGGTCTACGTAAAACTAGAGTCATAAATTTAGCCTTGATGGCCAAAAATGGATGGAGACTTCATGAACAGCAAGACAAAATCTGGTGTAGGATATTCAGAGACAAATACCTCAAACATCAAAATTTCTTAGAGGTGCAAAGTCGGACAAATAGCTTCACGGTTTGGCGGGGAATCCTAAGTACCCAGAAAATTGTGAAGAAGGGTTGTAAGTGGCAGATTCGTTCGGGAGATCAAATAAACTTCTGGCATGACTGGTGGGTGGGAGATGCTCCTCTGGTGGAAATGTACCCAGCTATGAATAGTAGCTTCAGAAATGAGAAAGTTAGCTTTTATTTTACAAGAGAGAAAACGTGGGACTTCCAGAATCTTCAAGGCGTGCTTTCGGCTGAGACCCAGGATCAAATACGAGGTATTCCGTTACCGGTGGGCAGTAATGCGACAAAACAAGACAAGATACGCTGGGATATATCGAAAGAGGGAATGTTTACGGTAGCTTCTGCAGCAAAAGCAATCTCCAAAATGGAATCACCCGATCAGTTTGTGTCTCTGTGACTAACCTTGGATGGGTTTGGCGTGTGGAAACCATTGAAAGGACCAGATTCTTCATATGGCTTTGCATGCTAAACAAAGTTAATACAAACGAAGTCCGAGCAACCAAGAACATGATGCAGGACCAGAGATGTAAAGCTTGCCAAGAGTCTCCGGAGTCCGTAGACCATATTCTCCATAAATGTCGAATAGCAAGAAGAGTCTGGGATGATATGCAGGCGTACACACAAGGAAAGCTATTGGAGAAAGACTCGTTCAGAGACTGGCTTAAGAGTAATTGTTGCTCGAAGAAAATAACAAATGATGACAGTAACTGGGATATCATTTTTTCTACGCTGATCTGGGGCCTTTGGAACATAGAAATGAAATAGTCTTCAAAAGGCAAGGAAGAAAGCCATAATCGGGTGGTGGTTTATGCCCAGAAATTGGCAAAGAATATCAACACTGCGTTGTAAAGAAGATATAATCAAATAACAAGGAAACCTGCTTGGATTAGTTGGTCTAAACCACCGATGGGCTGCATGATTCTTAATACTGATGGAGCTTATAAGGATTCGATAAGTCTGGCAACAGCGGGAGGATTAGTTAGAGATGATGACGGCGCATGGATACGAGGCTTCATGCTAAAAGTTGGGAAAGACTAGCAATAGCGTGGCGGAACTGTGGGGTGAGCAAGGTCTCATGCTGGCCAAATCGTTGAATATATCAAACTTTATTGTGGAACTTGAAGCTAAATGGGTGGTGGAAGCTTTGAATGGTAATGTTACTGAAGAGACCTCGGAGGAAATCTTGCTGAACGACTGCAAGGAACTCCTGAAGGGTGGCTGGATCCGAGAAGTCCGGCATATATGGCATGAAGGAAATAGGTGCGCCAATCGCCTAACCGATCTGGCGGTCTCCCAAACTGAAAGTGTAACGATTCCGTAAATTGCTTCGGAAGAGATGAATCAGCATGTAGAGGCTGATAGGAGAGGTATAAGTACCAGAGCGGTATTTGGTTCACTGAATCTAAGATTATCTTTAATATTACCGAAATGTAATATTACTATAAAAATATTGTATTACCTTATTTGGTTTATTTAGCAGGAATATAAGATTACAATGTTTGGTTAGAGGAATATAAGATTAATTAGATGCATATTTTACTAAATTATCCTTATGATATATTTTTTAAAGTTAAGCTTTAATATTAATTTATAAATATTTGAATGAAAATTCATAAAAATATTTTAATCGTTATTCTATTTAACTTTTGAGGAGAAATTATATTTAATATATAATTAATATAATTAGTATATTAAATTTATATTTTTAAATAATGTTCCTAAGTAACATATTTATTTATATAAAATATAATATAATATAAAAAATAATATTATGGTAGTAAAATATTATTTTAAATAATTATATTTTTACAATAATACTATTTTTCATCCATAAAATTATAAATAGTAAAATATTGAATATTAAAAATATAAAATATTTTAAATTCTCAAAATTATTAATATTTTAATAAATTAAACTCTTTGTATATTATTATTATTTTTATAATTTTGAGTAAAGTATAAAAAATAAGAATTTAGAAGGATTGTTATAAAAAAGAATTTATTAGTCCAAATATATTCTTATCCAAAATTGTGAAAAAGTAAAATTATCTAAGAATTTAATGGTAATAATATTCTCACAATTTTAATAAAAAAATATTTCCAAAAATTTAAAATTCCGTGAACCTAAAGGTTAGAATGTAGGAATTTGATCTTCCCCGTTCCCTGTTGTACCAAAAAAAAAGTATACTTTATCCTATATAATTTGTACTGTGCAGGAAACCACTATTATCGTGAAAAGACCAACAACTCCCTTTATTTCCCGTCTATATATATTCTATACTTCAGATTTCTTACTTGAAACAAAATTTCGAAATTTACCCTACAAAATCGAAAGATCCCATCGTGTTCTCGCCTCCAAACCCTTCTCTTTTCAAAAATGGAGGAAAACGGAAATAGAGCTGAAGCCATTCGTCTTCTAGGAATCGCCGAGAAGCTTCTCCAAAGTCGTGATTTCAACGGCTCAAGAGACTTCGCAATCTTAGCCCAAGAGACCGAACCGCTGTTGGACGGTTCCGATCAGATCCTAGCCATCGCTGACGTCATCCTTGCAGCTGAGAAAAGAGTAAACAATCACCAAGATTGGTACTCCATTTTACAAATCGATGGCCGATCCGACGACAACGATCTCATCAAGAAACAGTATCGTCGCCTAGCTCTCCTTCTTCACCCAGACAAAAACAAGTTCCCTTTCGCCGACCACGCGTTCAAGCTCGTTGCTGATGCGTGGGGAATTTTATCTAACAGCTCGAAAAAATCTGCTTACGACAGAGAATTTAGCCTGTTTACGAGGATAGATTTAAGCAGCGGCGACGGTCGTTCGAATCCTGCCGGGAAATTACCGGTCACGAGAAGAGGCCAAAGTCAGGAGCATGAGCAATATTGGACGCCAAATGCGAATACCCAAAATGAGAATCAAAGGTCGAAAAGTTCTACATTTTGGACAGCTTGCCCGTACTGTTACAGGTTGTTTGAGTATCCTGGGGCTTACGAGGGTTGTTGTTTAAGGTGCCAGAATTGTGAGAAAGCTTTTCACGCGGTTGATATTCCAACATTGCCGCCGCTGGTTCCGGGGAAGGAAGCATATTACTGTTGCTGGGCGTTTTTTCCTTTGGGATTTGTGTCTGGAAGTCCGGAAAGTAAAGAAAAAGCCCCCGCCGGCTTTCCGAATTGGATGCATCCCACATATTCTAAAGTGCCGACGCATGAGGGAGAAAGAAATGGAGGCAACGAGCAAGCTACACCAGTCACATCGTTTGCGGCACCGCCGCAGCCTCCCCCTCCTATGACCCCTGCAGTGAAGGTGGTAGAAAGTACGAGTACTGCTGGTGTGATTTCAGGTGGGAATGTGTCCAAGTCGGGATCAAAGAAGAGAGGGAGGCCGAGGAAGATTCCTCTGTGAGGTTTGATTGGTAATGAAATTTGTTATTTGTAGCCTTTTTTTTAGAAGGAACCTGACTGAAACTTTTGAGGCAGTTCTGGAGGATATCGGTGAACTGACAAGGAAGAATAAGGCCGATGCTGAACCATTGTAACGTTTGGGGGTCAAATATGTAGGTATTGTTGTAGTTGTTAATCGTTTTGTTTGTAGATTGTTTTCATGCACTGACTAGCTCGACATAGGTGATCATTGTAACACTGATATATATTCAGCCTATGTCAAGTCAGAAAGTTCTTTCCCCATTGATTATGAGGAAATTTTACTTCTCGCCGTTTATTCAAAATTGTCCATTTATGCAGGCATGAACTTTTGTTTACAGTTAAGAAATTTGAGATGTTTTAGAACATTACCGTGATTGTTGTCATGAGCAACGTACTTGTTTGTATTTGGTTTTCATATTGAAAACTGAACTTTTAGTTCATTTCATGTTTCATGGGTTACATGACCGGTGCATCTTGGATTATCCAAATGACTAACTGCTGATGTATGTTTTTAGTCCTTTTACAACTAAAACCTCTTAAATTTCTGCTCACCCTTTAACCAGTTCGATTGCAGTTTCTTTTAGAAGCATTTGGTAAATTTAATGCCTAGACCTAGCAATGAGAGATTGATCCCTAGCCACTTGGTATGTTCCCCTCACTTGCATATCCGCCTCTAGGCCGAGTGTTACTGTGGATGCCGACTGTTGGGTAAGAGATCTTGCTAATAAGACACAACTGGGTGAGAAATTAATCATAAGCTTAGGATATATATATTAGTTTTGATTAAATTTGTTATTGTTTTACAATCCTCTATCTCATGATTGTTGCACTGAAAATGTGTTGCAAAATAAGTAACAAGTAATGATCAATTATTATGGACTAGCCGAATGTCATGTTCCTAGAGAAAAGCAATGAATCTTAATTGGCTATGTGCCAGAATTAGTTCCTGAGTTAGAGTCATAAGAAATGGTAATTTAGAGAGATTTTTAGATCCATATATCTAGCTCAAATAATTGTTGGTGGTGCTGATATCTGAGGAAGAACTCATTGCCTTAATCTTAATAGCTCTGTGAAGTTGTATTATTATTATTATTATTATTATTGAAAAGCTGTGAAGTTGTATTAGCCAAATCCATTAACCTCCATTTTCAACTGCGTATGTTCTATAACGTACATTACGAAAAGTCTGGCAGGGTATTGAGCATTGTAATCCTGGTATTTGATTTCAGATATCAAATGAGATTTTTATGACATAATTTCTCAAGGGAAGAGGTTTAAACAAGCTAATATTTTCTATTTAGAAGGTACCACAACCGTTACATACAAGTTTTGTGCATCCATCACAACATCATTATTAACTCTCATTTACTTTATATCATCATGGTAAATCATAGCGTATCATGTTCTTTTTCTTCTTCTTCTTTTTGTAAATTAAATTTATTTAAGGTTAATGTATTCTTAGTGAAAATTTAGACAAATATTCGCGTAAACTTGAAAGTCTAACCCAACCCATCCTTCGTAGCTCGTAGAGCTGTGTATTGTAAGTGATCCGAACCTGCCTGGAGCGAGCCTACCAAAGAGGCGAGTGAAGTTGGTGAGCCGTATGATGGGCAACTATTTCCTGCGGTTCAGAGAGGACTCAGCTCTTAGTTAGTACCCCCTTGGTTTTGGGGTGGACCCTTTCACTCTATTTTTATTATATACGCTTAACGAAAAGAATTTTTTTAATACACCTAGGACCTGGATTCTATATGAACCAATGGATCGTAACAAATCGTTACTACTAGACACAACTTGTACACGCGAAGTATTACTTCATGCTTCAGCCTTTCTATATCCCTCTCCTTTGTTCTCAGTAACTCTTTATAGGCACAACTTGTACACGCGAAGTATTAACTTGAAATTTGAACATATCAAGAGCTATCTTGTAACTTGAATCATGAGCACATAAATACAAAATACATAAAGTGTTATCTTGAACTTGAAACACGTGCACATAAAATATCAAGTACATGAAGTGTTTTCTTGAACTTACAGCGTGAGTACATAAAATGTTAAAATCTTGAAATTAAAACACGGGTACACCATATTATATTGAAACTTAGACGCCCAAAGTGCATAATTAAATACACTAAGGTGGCGTTTGATTCGCTGAAATCTCTTGGAATTAGGGGGAATTGAAATCTAATTCTACCATTTTCCTATGTTTGGTTCAAGTTTTTAAAGGGGGAATTGAATCCAATTTCATCAAGGGAGGGAAAGTAAATTACATCCATAGCATGATGGAATTGAAATCATTTGGAGGAGGGAATGTGAAATTTGACCATACTACCCTCATCAATCTTTTGGTATTCGGGTCGGATTTTTTAATAAAAAAATTTCGGGATCGGGTCGGATTTTTTTGAAAATTTCGGGTTCGGGTTGGGTTTTTTTAAGTGTTATATTCGGGTCAGGTTCGGATTTAGGGTGAAAAATACCCGACCCGACCCGAAAAAAAATATAATTATACCTTATATATTTAGGAATAATTACAATAATACCCCTCTATATATAATTTTTTTCAATTAAGTCACTGTTTTTATTGAATAAAAATATTTTTTTATTATTTCGGGTCGGGTTTCTAATTCATATATTCGGGTCGGGTCGGGTGAAACTTTATTTTGGTCAGGTCGGGTCTCGGGTGGAGGTTCCCTTGTTCTCGGGTCAGGTCGGGTGGACCAAAAACCCGACCCAACACGACCCATGGCCATCCTTAATTGAGATGATTTTAACTTATGATGTTTATTAGTAAGATTTTTATAATTTATTGAAATGAATAATCAATCAATAAAATGAAATTTTAATATTTTTATAATTTTTATAATATATTGCTACATGTAAGTTATAAAACAAACTAAAATTAAGCAAAAAAAAAAGAATGACAATTCTGTTATTTTACATTACTGAAATCAAATTCATCTGACATGTCTGCGAATCAAACAGAATATGGAATTGTATTCCAATTCAATTTCCTGCCAACCAAACAGGTTTCAGATTCAGATTCCAATTCCTTCACAGATTTCAATTCACTCATAAACATTCCAGCGAACCAAACGCCACCTAATTATTTTCATTAAACTAAAACAGACTAGGTGCGTAACAAACACGAAACTTGAGTGTAATAGATTCCACAATATGAACACAAATATTTATTAATAAATTTTATATTTCATACTTGCTTTATTCACTTCTTGTAATTCATATTTACATTTTACAGCATCTTTACATGGAACTAAACATTGTGTTCATATATCATACTTTTCAATCCACACTTGAGAAACATGTTTAAATAAAACCTTAATTATTTTCAAAAACGAAACTAAAAACTAAAAACTATAAAAATTTTAAAGATAATAATTTCTTTTAATGATTTTATAATTTTAAAAATTAAGCAAATGAAACTATAGATTTTATAAACCTTTAAATAGATAAATGAATAAGTTGCATAATGTTATTTTTTTAATTAATTATTAATATTTAATTTATTGATTAATTAATTCAGATTGAGTTTAATAGAGGCTTATTTAGAGACAATTCTCGTAATTTAATTTGTTTTATTCGCAAACATCTAGATTTAAACCTTTAACGATATTTAAAGAATTGGTAGAATGATAATTTTTTCAACATTATCTAAAATAGAAATACAAAATTCGATGGATATTTGGGGGTGGGGGACAACACTAATAACTTTGAGTATTAAGAAACCGTAAATTACACTTTGAAAAATACTGGTTTCTCGATGAGAGGGTCTTATTACTGAAAAAAGTTTCAGACATCAATGGGAAACAAGACAAGCAAACATCATTAAACACGAAATTAAGCGCCAAAATTAGTGGGATAATGCAAGCGGGCCGGTTAATTAGCCCAAGAAGACAAGTTTTTTATTTTAGGATCTATGACAAAAGCTACAATGTAGTTGGTAGGTGTGACGAGTTCTATTGGATATAAATTTTTAATGGGCCGTGGGACATGGGTCCCAAGGATTGAATATATTTAATATATTTCACGGGACTCTTCATGCGGGCATGACGAGTCCAAATAAAAAAATATTTGTTTTGGAATTTTAAAAAACATTGTAATAAATATATATTAATAGCCATGAAACTCGTCTCGTTGGCGTGACTAGTTCCAAACGGTAAAAAATTTGAAATTTTTGACCGTTGGGGGATCGTTGGCCAACGATTTTTTAAATTCAATGGAACTCGTCACGCCGGAGTGACGAGTTCCAACGACTATTTTTGGAGATGATTTTAGTATAAATAGGGGTTTAGGGTGAAGTTTTTGATGTATGATAATTGAGAGAAAAAAATTGAGATTATCAAATAATGTGGTCGTGGGAAAATTTTGGGTATGTTTTGGCGAAGGTGTTTATGGGTTTGACAACACCGACTCAGAGATTGACGATTCAGATTCAAGCTTTTCTTCAGATAAAGAGTGGGAAAAAGAAGCAATAAAGTACATAGTTGAGGATCATAAGAAGAAGATGATGAAAATGGAAGTGAAGAAGAAGTATGAAGTTTTACCAAAGCTGCGTAGCAAACGACTCGTTGAAAGGGAAGAAAAAAAAATTAGTATAAAAATTGAGAAGAAGATGACGAAAGAAAAATACGAAGGTGTCTTAATTCGACGTAGTGAACAAATTGAAGAGAGATCTAAAAAAATAGAAAATGAAATATGTACAAATATTGATTTAAATGGTTTTAGTTTATGTATGAAGTTGTCTTTATTAATTAAGTAATTATTGGACTAAGTAAACTTATTTAGTAATAGTTTGTAATTATATACGAATTGAAGTGAAAGTTTGAAGTAATGATGTTCAATTAAAAAAACTTATAAACATAGTGGGAATAGTACAAGTTAAAAAACATAGTTAAAAGAGTAAAAGTAAAAATATAGCATAATATTTTTTAACGACTATTTTAGCGTCCAGTTCGATATTTAGAAAGATGAGGACAATGTTTTTTGTTATGCCCTTCACCTCTACAATGGTCACAAAGTTTATGTAGATCTGACTCTCTTTGAAGATCATCCATATCTGTATGAATTCGGTTAGAATCAGGTCGACCTCTTAACTTCATACGTAATTCAGGATTTGGCAACCATTCTTCAAAATTTGTTGATGCAAGCCAGTATGCTTCATTTGGGAGGTACTTAAAATCACAATTGTAAATGTTATGTATAGTGTGCAAGCTATAACAATCATCAGCATATAAGTAG